GCGCCTTACCTCGATGCGGAGATGTTACTCTCCGCTTTTGAGGCAGAGACGAACGCACCGAGGCGCGAGGGGCAGAGAATGAGCTCGACGCACCATTAGTACGTTGCAATCTCGATTATGGAGATTGGCGCGAGCAAGCCCGCAGCCGCCCACCAACATTTATTAATATATTATGATTAAAGTTTAATCCATTCATGGCCATACGGACAATATAAATAATCACCAAGCGCACTAACGACATTAGCCTCGCGCGCGGTCTCTCCCGATGATGGTGACCTGCGGAGACGTGGCGTTTCCTCAAACTCGATTCATGGTCGCCGCCCGGGACACTTCGCCCCCACGATATCTTAGCGCTAAAAAATTGCCCTCAAAATACCCACCTACGCTGAACGGAAATGAATTGCACCGATGGAACGACCCGAGCGCTTCATTCCGAGTTCTTGGGAAGATCTTGTCGCAGTCGTTTGTCGTCGCTTCCTCTCGAGAATCTGCGGGACGGGAACACTCCGAGCGCGGATGGTATCTCCCACGAAACGGCTGATTGGGCTGCGAACAAACAATCCGCTGAGCCGACGAATGAAATCTGAATCGAGTTCGTGGACGAGACCCGCGCCGAGCAGCTGCGGGTATCAGGACACTGAGGAGCCGCGATCGCAGGTCTTGCTGGATGCTCGCTCGGAGCGATGGGTGGTTACGCTCACACATACGTTCGCACGTTTCGTCGCACGCACACGTAGAAACTGTTATATCAATTGCTGGTGCGGCGGAGGCGGCTATTGGCTGGCTATGGGGCGGGTAGGCTGTATTCGTATCAGCGCCAACACGAGTGAGTATCTTGTAGCAGCAGCGCCTGCGCTCGGCCAAGCTGATGGAACATTTCCGCTTCCGTACAGAGATACCAGCCATGCCTGCCTGTGCCGATGCCTCCTGGCGGGCGGACAAGCTGGCGGGGGGGGGGGGTTCGGCGAGCGTCCTGACTGGGATTCTCTGACAAGCTCGCTACGACGTCGACGACAACGACGACTACGTTCTGATAGCTCCGACCGCGATGAGCGACGGGAGAGATTCTGACTCTGGTCCCGCCCCCTCTCCCCCCATGCAACGAAGCGACCGAGCGACTGAACGTACCTTCCTGGGGAACATCCTCCTCGCTGCGGGGTCACATCCTGACGCGCGAATCGCGCCAGAGATCCGTGTTCGTTTTGTTCTGAACTTGTTCCTCTCGCTTGCCCTGGTCCCGATCCGCCGCTGGCAAAGCTCTCACTCAGCGCACTTCAAATTATTCCGACAATCCCGACAAGTATCAAGCTCGACTCGATTCCGGGAGGAAAATTCACCCGCACAGCTCCCCGTGTTCTCCGAAGATTCTTGAGATTCCTGTCGACCCTTTCGACTGTTCGAGGTATTTGCCTCGCCGCAAGAGTCGGGCCAGCTAGTCTCTTTCGAATGGAGCCCGTGAAAGCAGCCTCCGAGTGTGTGTGGACTCCGAGTCGATATACTGCCGGCGAGTGGTCGTCTCAACTCATTCGTTCCTGCATGAAAGCCGAAATCCGTACCCGAATGAGGTTTTTCTGCTTCTGTGCTAAATTAGGAAACTAGGTACACGATTATTCTGGGACTGACGAATGATTCTGCGAGCCGCTTCGGTACCGTTGATTGATTTCATTCCATACATCAGGTATCACTCATTCGAGATTTATTCTGAAATATCGTGTCCACTCGCAACCTCCTGGGGAGGCGCTCATGAACTCGAGAACTCGAATCTCCTGGCTGGAGAAGCTGACCGAGAGCCTGAGGAGGGGGAAGATGGCAAAAAAAAAAGAGCAAGCGCTAATTATGGACTCGCTGTTTTGGAGCTTGGACTATTGTCCCTCTTAGATCTCGGAGTTGAGAAGAGCAGCTAGCGAGTCTGTTGGCCTCTTATCGATTCAAGCTCCGGGTCGATCATCGAATGATCAGTGGCGTCAGCGATGGCTTACGACGATGAACTTTCCGGATTCAGAGAGATACGAGCTTCCTTCTAAAATTCATTCGCGGATGAGTCGTCGCGGCGCTCGGATGTATCGTCAGCGGAACTTCCGCTCTCGAACAATATCCCCATAGGAATCTTATGCATAGAGCCTCATAACAAACTCGCGACGGAAATGAGCGACTGCTTTCTATACAATGCGGGGCTCCTCAGACCCATGCGGAATAAGAACGGACGAGTTGCTTTTTGCTCGGTTGCCTTCTTGCTTGCTCGCCTGCTTGCCGGCCTGCTGAAACCGACCGAGAGACCGTATCTGGTGCCGAAAGATGAACGCACCGGACATCGCACTGGTTCTGGTGTTGTCTTTGCACGTTGATGCAGCTGACTCGGGGGCGGACAGTGAGTTCACTCCACTCGACGAAGAGACTTCGGGCGCCAGTTGGCACAATACAGCTGGCAGTCTGTAAACAGTGCTTTGGCTTCGAGGAGCTCCGTGAAGAAACAGGAAACCGCGGATTTTTCCCTTAGTAGTGCCCGGCCTATTCTCCTCGCCCATCCAGCCACTCGTACGAGCGCGGGAACGAACGACCCTCCGGACAGACCGAAGGGAGTCGGGACCGCGAACGGACAAGTCGTTCACACGAAGGACGCCTATGCTTCGCAGAATCCCACCAAGTCCCGCGAAGTCCTCTTTGATTTTTTCCGAATCGCCGCTGCCAGAAATGGCGGAGTTCGTACCTCGGAGGGAACCTCAGCCTTTAGTTTTCCGAAAAGCTCTGTGAAGCTATCCGAGTGCTTATAGGGGTCGCAAGGTCTCGTCGTCACTGACAGAGTTTGAGATCATCCTTTGAAAAATTCCCGATTCGGGCCCTGTGAATCGGAACTCATCTCCTTCCGTCAAACTTCCGCCTCTGAGAAAGCAGAATGTCATTTATGATGCACGCGAGAGAGCGGCTGGAAACCTTCTTCTGTACGGAACATCATACTCTGAAGCTCCCTCGGTGAAGTGATGCCGGTTCGTGTCTACTCGGCTTGTTTACGATAGCGATTCTCCTTGTGGGTTCGAGTGTCAGAGCTTGTCGGTCGAAATCGAACGTGACTCAGAACTGTTTACAGATGCCATCGAGGCGCTCTACAATTGTTAGCGATGCCTTTGGCTGCAGATGACGATCGACTCCTTTCGGAGCGACGTTGGCCGGCTTTTTTCGTAGTCGATTTGAGGGAGCTGAGAAACGATTTCAACTTTCGCCGGGAACGGCAGACATTGGAATTTGAGGAAGCGAAAGTCAAGATCCTCGAATGTGAGCGTCGATTACGGGATTGAGCTTCATGCCCACATCAACCAACTTCCCGGGACTTTTGATACCGTCGAGAGAAATTCCGCCGAGCGGAACTTGGGTCCCGAAATCGGCGATTTCCAGTGACGCGCTTCCCAACCTACCTGGGCATGCACGGTGATTACCAGACTTCCTCTGGGGCATGGCGGTACGGAGGTCGAGACAGAATCTCGTTGGCGAAGAGGATGCCCGAAAGCGTTCCCCGGCGAACGTTTCGAATATCGTGGACCCCCAGAACAGTCTCGGTTCGGCGCGGAAGCGTCGATGGCGTCTGGTTCGACACATCGTGTCCATCTCTCATATTCCCACGCCATCAGGAGCTCCCTCCCGATCGGTGCTGCTGGAGAATCTCTCCTTGCTTTTGGATAAGTGACTGAGTGGTCATCGTTCCGCACCATATCGGTCGTGTGGCTTGCTGACCAAGCGTGCTCGCAATCCCGCTGCCAAACATCGAGCAAGAACGCAGCGAGGTGAAGGCTTCCATTGTTTGTGTCCGCCCTCATTACGCCAGCCTGGCAGAATGTAAAACCCGCGGCCGTCCGGAGGCAGTCGAGATGTTGGGGGACATTCGAGGAGCTATCTGCGGCATCAGGGCGGAGCAGGAATGGAGAAGACAGTTGGGGAACTTTGCTCCCCCGCTCCGTTCTCTGCGGGAGTTGTCCGCTATGTTTGCGGCAACAGGCTGAGGCTTCAGTCCTCCGAACGTCGACTGATGTCAGAGTCTACTCAGCCTGCGCAATTAGGGTCAATCATGAGTCTCCGTGGTCGAGACTCCGCGTAGAAAGTCAGTGGAGGGCACACGTTGCAGCAGGTACGATCAGGATGCTCCCAGGTTGGGCGATCAGGAAATTTCCCGATGCGGCGTTAAGAGAGCGAAACTGGCGCTCGGGTGACGCTTCTTCTTTGTTTGAAAGCCACACGATCTTTATTAGCTTCTGGCAATGATTCGGGAGCTAGAGGAAAGCCCTTATAAATATTGATTGAGAAATTATATATGTACAGTAGAGCATTATGGCCATCACAACGGGGCTCCTCGAGGAGACCTGAGCAGCAGCGTCAAGGGAGGTGGGGGGCGGGCGGTCGATACCGATCGGGACGGCAAGAAGGTGAGGTTTCCTTTCGCGGGGGCTCATGAAAATATTTTCAATATTTTTTGAAAATTTCGTTAGTTGAGAACTGAGTGAGTAAAAAAAGCGAGTCCTGATTTTTTCTCGCCGAGCGGCACTCCGCGAGGAGGTATCTGAACCCGAAAACCGGAATTATCATTTCCAGCCACCCGATCAAGAGCGCGATCTAACCGATACGTATCGCAGATCTCAAACGCCGCGGAGTGCGACTCCCCGGACGGATACATCTTTCAGTGGTCGTTTACTGTCATCCAGTGGAACAGGTTGTGGAATAGGTACGTCTCCACTCGCAGGTGTACATAATTTCGGAACTCGAATTCATTCATATCTGTATCTATATACATTAGCTGCGACGAGCCGATCCCAACTCAATCCGAATGACGAGGGAGCGGATGGAATCGAACAGACAGTCGACATGGTGGGCTCAATCCGACGGTGATTCAAATTCAATGGTAATAAATATTTCAGCTCTGTTCCGAGGCAAACAGAACCGATGGGGGGGGGAACCGAAATGAACATCGACTCGGGAGTCAGCCGCGGGCTCGACGTTTGGGTCTAGAACATTGTTCAGCCGATTACGACATGGGTGTAGTTCCGTAGGGTGGCGTTTTCGTGGTCGTTCCAGAAATAAGCCCAGAAATTACATTCTTCTTCGCGAGTGCCGTACTTTAGGGCCATGTTGTTATCCAAGGAGGCAGCGTACGGCGCTTTCGCCGTGTACGTAGGCCATTCCGTATCCATCTTCGCCGAATAGGCGCGCCCGTAATAGACGAACGTGGTTACGACGTCGAGCATGTCCTCAGCAAATTGTCGGTCCTTTCGCGAAGCTCCTAATTGAGTTCCTAGAGGGCCGAGTATCGATCCGAGAAAGTAGAGAACTTCTTCGGAAGACGTTGCGCCGAATTGCGCTTTGCTGAATGCGGACGAATGATCGAACGAGTAGTAATAAACTTTGGCGCCTAGTCTCGACATTTCATCCGCGTACTCGAGACCGGGACAGACCAGCAGACCGTCGGATATGGCTCGTCCTCCGGTGCGCAGAAGGGACGACGCGTTTGCCGTTCGATCGTTCCGGAAATAGTACCGTATGATCGGTAGAGCGTTCGCCCGAAAAAACATACCTGGAATAGTGAGGTTGCGAGTTACTTTCCGAATCGACGATTTATCGGAGCGACATGAATGGATACAGAATCTATACGCGATCGGAGTGTGCCCAGGCGTCGGCAGTTCCCGATTCGTAATCGAATGGGCATCGGAATTGAAATTATGCGTATAGTCCTCTCGTGGAACGTACCGTAGAACATCCCGATGAGGTACTTGATATCGCCCGGGAGGATTTTGTCCGCTGCGTCGAAATAGCCCGTGTAGTAGAGCGAGTCGGCGTACTCGTTGTTTGCGTGGCCCATCAAAATTTCGACGTCATCCATTTTCGAGCTCTCGTACACGAGCTGCTCCGGGGATTTTTTCAGGAAATCCTCCGAAGTGAAGAGCGGCATCAAAGAGAGCTCTCCTCGGGTGAACTCGAGCTCTGCGGCCTTGGCAATCTCGTTGGCGTCTTTGCTTGCGATGCAGTGAAAAATTTCAAAAGACTCGCTCTTCATGTTTCCGTCTCGAGAGCAGCCGAGTCGTTTCGCGATCGTCGAAGCCCTCGTCGAAGCGACGTTCGGCATGTTCAGATTCATTATGGAAAAAGGGTTCCCCGACAGCAGGATCATGCGTTTGAATATTTTTCTGCTCGTCGGGTTCAGTAGATGGTACGCCGCCGCAGTGGCTCCGGCACCGTGGCCCATGACGGTCATCCGGGCGGGGTCTCCACCGAAGTAGTGAATGTGCTTACGAATCCACTGCAGCGCCAACTGCTGGTCGTACAGGCCCATGTTGCCTGACGCCTGCGGAACGCCGGCGTAAAGGAAACCCATCGCGTTAAGACGGTAGTTGAAAGACACGGCCACAACCCCACGCGCTGCCAGGTGGCTCATATCCAGATTCGGCGATTCGCTACCACCGTGCGTAAAGAAACCCCCATGAAGAAATACCACCACGGGCCGGAGGGGGGCGAGCTGGGCCGTCCACACATTGAGGTAGAGGCAATCTTCGCTAAATCGCATGTGTCTGTTGTTGCGCGTATCATCAAAGTAGTACGGAGTCTGGGGGCACGACGGGCCCATCCGAGTTGCGAGAATGACGCGTGATTTTCGCCAGGGGAGCGGCCGCGGCTTCTGGAAACGAAGTTTCTTCACGGGGGGCCTCGCGTAGGGAATGCCGAAATATTGACGGATCGGTACTCCGCGCACCGAAGTCTCGCTCCCGCGGATAACTCCGTACGGTGTGTACAACGTGTTCGCCTGGTCCGACAGCTCGTCGTATTGAACTCGGTTGCCATATCCGTTATGCAGTCGAAAATAGCTTGGACTGAACAGTGTGGCCAGAAGTATGAGATGCCGCATCGCGGTTCCCTGTCAGTTGCTCGGCATCGTCGGCATCTGGAATCAATTTTCGACTTGATTGCTTATGGCGCGCAGAAAAAAAATCGGTAGGATTAGAACAAATTCGCGATCGGATTCGAATGGAGGAAATGACTCCTCCGGTGCGTATTCGTGATGGGCAGAGGCTGTCAACGAGTTCATCTACTGGAGAACAGCTGATTTCTCACAATAGCCGTCAGTGAGGAAGATTCCTCAGGAGAGTCGGACAGCCGGACGCCGAGTCGTTACGGAGTCAGACTCGGGACGGAAGATGTTCGCTCTCGCTCAATATCCGGAGAGCTCACAAATCCGGACTCTCTGGGGGAGACGGAAATATTTCAACGGGAGCAGTACAAACATCTTTCGAGTCACCATTGTGCGCCGACGGCGGTGCCTCGGCGGAGCCCTAACAAAGACCACCATTTAGCGCTGCCACTGAATTTTCTGACTGAGATAATTCAATCGTTCCTCTCTGAATAAACAGTGGAACCGCGCCGTGGCTTGCTCACATCACATTCATGCACGTCGACGATCGTACGTCGGAGGCCGGGAGGGGGACGGAGGATTCCGAAATCTCCACGTATGTTGACAATTAACGATCGTTCTTGGCACCGAGCCCATGTCAAACATTTGACATTTGTTGACATTGAATCGTAACTTTCTTTTCCGTGGCTCGAGTCGACCATAAAACAAAATATGGCGGGCATCGCATCCGAGGAGCGCCGCATCGTCGACGTCGAGTTGAGCAACGGTGAGCCATCCGGTAGTTTTCCCAAATTTAGGATTCACAGCGGAATTCTCGGAGGGGCGTTTCTAGCCGCGAACACAGCGGCGAATGTGTTGAATTGTTCTGTGGCTCGATTTAGCTCAAAAGATACCTTCTAAGCTTCTTCTTCCGCACGATCGTTTTCTGGGAGGGTGGGTCTGCTTGCCGACTGCAAAGCTTCGAAGTAGCCTCTGAATGCTGCTGCCTTCGTCAGTTAAGACCAACAACCACAATAATTATATGGGAGGGGAGAGTACAGCGCTAGTCGGTACACAGGACAAAGTTCCGGAAGATTCAGAAACCGCTCTTGAGGCTAGTTAGGAGAAAGCAAGAGGGCCGATGCGCCCCGCGATCGGCCGGGCGGCTCTGAAAATGCGTAGAAAAAAACGCGGAGTCTTCGATCATTTCCGTCTTCCATCATGTCCTTCGTCCGCGATGATCCGCCACGATCTTTTCTGTTCTAGTTAGCGGAAGGAAGAGAAATCTTCGCGCGGTGCAACGGCCCATTCTGTCGAATCACGAGCACTCGATAACGATACGAAGCTTTTTAGCGGACTCGCGAGGATCGCTCTCGATCCGTCATCGATAGTCTTCAAAATGCCCCGGTGAAGAGTTGTGTCACCTGCTTGACTCAATCAGACTGAGTGAGTAGAAACCAATGGCCTCCCAAGAACAGCTGACAACCGCGCGATTCCTCTCGCTGATCGATTAGCTTCGATGGGTCGTTCCGTCGTCCAGCCGAAAACGGCACCTCTCTTTCGACCCCGCATTTCGAGGACCTGTCTACCTGCCTTCATCGTCGAAATCCCTCGTACCGGGGCGTGACCACCGGAGCGTGACAGCTTCATAAATGCGACTTGGAACGATTGTATAACACTTTGTGCTAATCCGATAGTCGAAGTTCCGAGCCATCGCCCGAGGAAGAGGAACATGTTTCTCATGTCTTGAGGCTGGCTCCATTGTTCTGGATTCGTCAGACGTTTGAGTAGGTGGATGAAGAGACGTATACGTGAGGGTCGACGTAGGAACAATGGCGAGAATATCAGACAAGTCGGAATCGTCGTTGTCATGAGAGGGAGTTGTACCCAGACGGTTGAGGTTCGCCGGAGCGATCTGCATTGTAAATCGGTTCAGCGGTTTTTTTCTCCTCGCGACGTTCCCGGGCGCGTCCGGTTGGTACACTCGGCTCGCGCTGTCATAAATACCGCTTTTTCCTCTCAATACCGGGGCCGATTTTCTGCGCGAGGCGACCAGAATCGTGCACTGTCAGCGTGGAGCGAGCTCGGAAGGGCGGGCTGGAGCTCCGGCAGTACACCGACGCACCACAGATCGGGATCGTAAGGTCAACGCTTACCGAGAATCTTGGCGTTGATTGCTCATTCGAGTCCGATGTCGTTTTCGGAGCTTCCGCAGAATTCCACCCTTGCCTCTCGTTCGCTCACCAGCACTCTTCCGCGAGCTCTTCGGACAATGCGGATCCCGAGAAGAAATTCCGGAAGCTAATCGAATTTGAGTAGCGCGGATTGTTCGGCGCGGAGATCAATTGTCGCTGTCGATGCTGAAGTTCGTACGACATCAGTCACCCCAGGTGGCAGCCACGCCATGCTCGGAGCGAGTGTTGAATTCACAACGGCACAGAAGATGACGCGACCCGTCGACAACAGCAGAATTCAAATGAGCACTTGACTCTTGTCTCTTCACCGACTGGGACGCTTTATTGAGCAGAAACAGCGTCGACAGGCGGTGACGGCGAGCTCCATCTGAAGTATTATGCGCTCTTCCCATTCTTGACAGTAATGGAATAGTATCGCACGTAGGGAAATCGCTCCCGGACTCGACGTCAGTCGCTGAGAGTCGAAGCTTGTTGTGAAAGTTCTCGCTACTTGTTGATATTTGTGCTCGTGGATGTATCGCATGAGAGGAAGTGTGATTTCATCCAATACGTGATCACGCACAATGAGATATGGGTCTGTCCGCCGGCGAGTTGGAATGCTATTCCGTTTTCTGGAATTATTCTGAGAATCGCCAAGCGCACTCCGGATCTCGAGAGGAGGCGCCAGAAACTTCAGACGTAACGGTCGTGCTCGTACGACGTATGAATTTTTTGAAACTTTGTCCTATCGCCGAACGAGCTAGTCCCGGCACGGTGAGAGGAAATTCTGCGCCACATCATGGATTGGGTACCGGAGATCCTTCCATAAATCGTTTAGCGCTGTTTCCTGTCAATCGAAGTTTTTCGATCGAGCTTCCGTAGATTCAGCAGATGGTTTCAACGAATATTATTATGCTTACACGAGGGGAATCCGTCGCGAAAGAAACAGAAAACGATCATCAACAGTTCGGAAAACCTTTGTAGCGACGAACGATTTCGCAGGCGTGACGTCCAATCGACTTCCGACAAGCTACCGCTCCTGCTGCTGCTGCCACACTCGTTCGCAAGAGCCGAAACGGAGGAAAAGACACAAGTCGACACGGGCAGAATGTGGAACGGTCTGAGGATCTCGAACGGAGTTTGCACTCCCTTTTCCGAAGCTCAGCCCCTTCGTTCCGGGCCCAGCTCGGAAGAGACGCGACCATCCGAGCGCTCGGAAACGATGGGGAAAACTCTCAACTATCATCTCCCGCGCTCTGACGATCAGAAGAATCTCGAAGAGTGATTTCAGAAAAAACTTGGCCAGCTCGACGGTCGCTCTTTTTTTCTCGCGTTTTTTCCTGTGCACCTCACGGCCTTTCTTCGATGTGAGCATCCGTGAACAGCACGAACATCGGCACCGCTAGGCGCGACGGCAACGCTCGCGGCACAGCAACAACAAGAGCCGCAGCGATCGCTCCGCCGCTACAAGCGCAACAGACCTCAAAGTCAAGAGCGTGGTCTGTTGTTGCTTCGCTAATGGACTTTGGGGCAGTACTCACATTAGGAACAGCGCTAGGTGACTGTTGATCCGTTGCGGGAGCTCTCCCGATGCTTATCGTGTGATCACTTAGTTGTCAAGATGTTCCCGGCTCTGTGCGCGAAACACTGAGATGAGAGCGCACGCTGTCGAGCAGCCAGAATTCGCTACTCTCGCTTTGGAAACTGCTCCCTTGCAGAGAGCGTGTCGCTCCCTTTCCGCAAGCTGCACGGGAATGACTTACCCACCTCAAATTCCAGAGAGGTCGATCGCGTTGTCAAGAACTCCGCGTGATCCGTTCTCGCTCTCCGTAGCAGCGATCTCGTCCCCCTCCATTCGGTACATTACTCGGAATTCGGTACTTCGATGTTCTTCGGGAGCGGAGGGAGACGTTAATTTCAGAGTCGTCCCATCGTATTCACCATCGTATTACTCTTGTCCACGACTTGTACATACTTTGACTAATCTCACGCAGAATAGCTTCCGTGCCCCATTTCACATGCAGGTTTGCTTCAGATCTGGAAACGGGATCCGAGAACGAGCTGCAATGCGACAAGCTCCCTTTGTTGACTCACAGCTCATGATTCCGTTGTGAATGACGACTAAGCCTCCACAAAGTCTGGTTACGTGGTAGTAAATCCAAATGCCTTCTTTCCTTTCCCGCGACAGAAGTCTTGGCGGGAAACGCAAGCTGGGAAGCATTATTCCGCGGCTTCTCTTCACTCAGATATGCGCGGGACGCGACGGCCACCATATGTGCTTAAATCTTGATAAATGAGTGTCGTTTCCATACATCAGACTTGAATTACAGGAGGACGAAACTTCATTGTAGGGAAATTCATTATGGGCCCCGCCACTGGTAGACTTCGTATCCGGAATCCGCACGTTCATAGAAGAATATTTCTCCTATCGATGTCGGGGATCTCATTTGATTTGTTGGGGCCAACTGAAACTTGACGTTTCAACAGGGAGCCTGTTAAAGAGAAATGCACTGATCCCGGAACTATCGGAACATGAACAGAGGTGGGAGCTCGATTTTGACTCGTTGTGAAGTGACATCGATCGACATCGCCGTCATCACTGTCATCGGGCTTCGGCTCTGTAGAAAAATCGTTTAGTTTCCGCCGTATCCGATCAGGTCGGATTATTCGGCGGGGTGCGCCTGCTGTGGTCTGTCACCGGAGTCTTTGATCAAGTTACGTCAGAGAGCGGCTTTGAACGTCGGGTTCCGAGTCGGAATCGCAGTTGGTTGTTCGACCTAACTTGGAGATTTACAAGGAGATCAAACGGAATCGGAGATCAAATACCTCCGGCCACTTACTGCG